TAGTTATTACAAGCACTGTACAGTTTCAACTGGTTGGCTAGTTGTTACAAGCCCTTTACAGTTTCAACTGGTTGGCTAGTTGTTACAAGTACTGTACAGTTGCAACTGGTTGGCTAGTTGTTACAAGCACTGTACAGTTTCAACTGGTTGGCTAGTTATTACAAGCACAGTACAGTTTCAACTGGTTGGCTAGTTGTTACAAGCACTGTACAGTTTCAACTGGTTGGCTGGTTGTTACAAGCACTGTACAGTTTCAACTGGTTGGCTCGTTGTTACAAGCACTGTCAAATTGTGTTTTGATGGGCTAATAAAACATTTAGAAGACAATAGCTTATAAGGTATATGATGTTAAAAAGTTGCATACTGTAGAGAAAATTATATATGATAAGAATTTTTTATAATGTATAAGATATAGAACGTACATGCGTTGAGACGTCTTATATTTATTGTATAGAAGCTATATAATGTATATAGGGTATAGATCTGTATAGGGTATAGATCTGTATGGGTTTAGATCTTTATAGGGTATAGATCTGTATGGGTTTAGATCTGTATAGGGTATAGATCTGTATGGGTTTAGATATGTATAGGGTATAGATCTGTATAGGTTTAGATCTGTATAGGGTATAGATCTGTATGGGTTTAGATCTGTATAGGGTATAGATCTTTATAGGGCATATATCTGGTAATTTATACAAGTAAAGCAATGTAGAAGTTTTAAATAATGTTTGTGACCCCCTCCTTACCGGACATTATTTCATGGATCCGCCACTGAATACATCATAGCTGAATACACAACATGATCTTTTAAACCAACAATTTTTGTTAACACATCTGTCTGATCTTATTTCAGAATGCGTGCTGTTGAGCCTGTCACAGAGACCACAAGATGCCCTGGCGGTGTGACGTCATGCCATAACCACATCCTAGTCACTGACAGCTTGAAAAGACCGCTTGACCCACCTGGCCCGGGCGAATGTTTGAAATAGACCCCGGTGAACAGTTTACCGCTGTTCAAATTAATATTTGGTCATGAGATTGTCCTGAGAGTGGACACGGCTGACTTATCAAAGTGTTGGTCACAATGACGGTAGTCAAGCAGACTCCGACCAAACACTTGATCCGACAAATGTCAATGGTTCGTAAAGGCGTATTGACGACAAGGCCACAACTGTGAATGCTCCAGTTACAAACATCAGAGACCACAAGGATTGTGACACTACGCTCAGCGGTGTTAGGACGGACAATTGGCTCATGGACAAGACTTTAACAAGCCTTTGATCTACATGTGTACATTTATTCCATAGTTACCATTCTGTTTGGCTGTCCGGAAGGCTTCGACATACAATAAATTGCAGTTTTGGTTGGAGGTTTCATTCCTTGGTCACTTTGTTGATATCTCTCAGCCATTCAACGTGTCGGATATTCTTTATTTCAGACAGTCGATATTCCAGATATGATTCAAAGTATATGACATGATCCGCTTTAACAAGCTGATATCTTCTGATCTACATAACATAATGGATTTTTTTAAAACTTATTTTTTTCTTCCCTCAAGCGTTGTGCGAGGGGAAGTGGTCTATCGAAACATATTTCTACAAAAATGCTTTCAGTCTTTAAAAAAATAATCGTCTCTATACTGACGAAAGTCGCGAAAAATATACGCGTTCATAATGGATGCTGTTCGTTGAGAGTTTTAAGAGATGTGAGTACAGACATAGGCGTACACTAAACTGACTGCAAATTACTTTCTGTACTCTGGTTTTATACGCTGCACAACCGTGTAATGGATCATAACATTATTTTTCCAATGCCGAGCAGAATAAATTTCCGTTTTGCTGTAGCGAAATGTTGGAGTGCCTGCTTTCCAAGCCAATACAAGAATGAATTCACCACAGCAAGGTCTCAAAGAATCTAGATGCGGTTACGAGCGATCTGCTGCGGTTCATCGGCCGTCGGTCTCGGGTGTCAACAATGCTGCTGAAAGTAACGAGAGTTTTCATGTTGCGTCTGGACATCACCCTGTAACGGCTAATGTCACCTTAAGATCAACAGGTCAGTCTGGAAGACACCCGAAGGGTCTCAACCTTTTCAATGGAGGGCAGGCTCACGTCGGACAACTAGGAGTGGGAGACAGAGACATTGCAGATGGGTGCAGAGCAGTTCGTTGTGGTCCAATAAAGCAGTATCACGGGGCTGCTTTTATCCCACCCCCTGTAAGAAGGTTCACCACTACCAACCCCAACACCCTCAGCCCTACATACCACCTTTTCTATGACCTGACTAAACACATACCTCGCCCATCCGTTCCAGGTGGTGGTGGATGTAACCCCAACAAGCCCACCGCCGAATCCGCCCCTGGTAGAACTGATCAGTCCCACAGCGTCCCTAACCACCGAGTGTCAGGTGACGAATTCAGCGATGAAAGTAACATGACATTAGGACAGCTCTGTACCTCAACTAACCACAGCATACCAACGTTCACAGATATTAAACTTGGGGAAATTCATGAAAAGCCTCCAGCGACATCCAATTTTAGATCGGATATTTTATCACACCACCAGGAATCAATGTGTGGCCCGAATGCAAGACAAGCTGACGCCATTGAAAGGACTCAGAAATTCACCGAGGAAACGCCCCTGCACAGTCGCGCCTCTGACTCTAAGTTTGCCGACATCAACGCAAACACCAGCCACAGTGCAGCCTGGGTTCAAAACACAAAGAACATTTTTAATAATAGCGCCAACCACGCAACACGACAAGAGTTTTCGAAAGCGCATAACAGACCTGCCACAAATATTTCCGCTCCAGTTGTTCGGAAACAAACTGGGTTGCCAGCTAGGCAGTGGAAATCCCGGGAGGAGAAAACACAAATACAGAGAGACGAACTAGATTGTAGGAGAGACCAATCTTACCCTGTCGTCCCGAGCTTAGATCGCGTCCCATGTGTGCACTCGAACACTGAAACTGAACACATGAAAGTTAGTGTTACACAGGCTCTGGCTAATGAGAGGGACACTAATGTAACGGTACAGAAAGCCGTCCATTTTTGGAAGAGCAACGCCGCTGCTCAAGTAAATAGCTCCCCGGGGCCTCCACTAAAACCTGACATATACAGTTCTAAAAATTTTAAAACAATTCCACGCAGCCAATTTAGTGGAGAGGGTTTAGATTCTAGACTCCGGAAACGTGCGGTGTTTAAACGTGAGGGGGATTCGGTGCGAATGTTCATGGTCAGTGACAGTGTCAGTGGCAATACACCTTGTAATCACGACTCCGGAGTCGCATCTGATGCTGAAATAGTTCCTGCCGCTCAGGAAAAACCTGCCGTCCCCATGTCGTCGATTGACTACCGGAAAAACAGCAACAGCAGTTTGTTATCTTTGCCTAACTTTCTGCTAGGATCCCTCAAGTCCAAATCTAAAAAGACGGGAACTGGGGCCCCCAAAGACAACGTTAAGACGGTGGGAGGGGTGGTCACAATCAACAACGATTTGTTGAATGGCGGCGGCAATTCCCGAGTTAGCAAAAACCAGGTGAATAGATGGAACAACCTGCACGTCAGAAGTGCACCCTCCCTCAGTGCTGGCGCAGACGAGGGAAAACGAATTGGCGCGACAAAAGAGAAATTGAGTGCGCAGTCAGGTTTATCTACCCCCGCTCTTGACATCCGTAAGCCGGCTTTGGGACGAGACCCGGCGTGTCACCGCTCGGTGGGAGGCGAAGGAGGGAGGACGGGCCGGGCTGACAACGTGGGCTCGAACGGGCCGTCAACAAGTGCGATCAAAGGAATTTTAGTTAACAAAGACAACGTGCCGACTGGGAACAGATCTGGGCACACGCATAAAGCCAACAGCGTACAGTTTAGTGAAGATTCGCTCAACACTGAGGATAACTTCGACTCTAGTGATACCCTAAAACAGAGAGGAGAGCATGTTCTCTTTTCAAACACATCATCCGCCACATCTCGAAGAGAAGTCATCGACCGCAACAAGTATATCATCAAGCGAAGCGTTGTGACTGATGGTCAACACAATCTGAACCTTTCAAGAGATACCACGCGTTCGGCGTCTTCAGATTCGTTGGATAACTTTTACCCTGGCGGTGACCGCATTACGCCCCAGGCTAATAGTTTAGAGACGAGAGACTCATCAGTCAAAAGTGACACTTCAGTGGACGTAAGGCTCGAGTCTCGTGTTGCGTCGGAGAATCGGCACGGTCAATCTATTGGAGTAATTATAATTTCACACGCCAATCCCCACTCGTGTAAGCTCAGCAGCGTGGATAACAGTGGATTTCGAACGGGAGATACAGAAACGTACACGCCGGGACTTGACAAACATCACGAGAACTCATCAACTGACGGAACCCGACATGAGCAGCAGGAGTTATCGCAACTATTGGAGTCGCACTCGTCACGCGATGGACACAGTCAATTAACAGCCTTGGATAATATTAGAATCGCTCATTCTCACATTTGTAACTTTGAAACTGTCTTTCCCATAAACGTTGACAGAACAACAACAAAATGTGTTGATATCGCAGAGTCAAGGCTTGCTGGCTTAGCGTCTGATATCACAGAGTCAAGGCTTGCTGGCTTAGCGTCTGATATCGCAGAGTCAAGGCTTGCTGACTTAGCGTCGATAAAAAATAAAGATAAAAAAGATTATTCTAACGAGAGGAGAGACATTGGTGACTTGAGCCCTCCGTCTAGCCATCACCCAGGTGAACAAAAGGTACCTCAGAAAATCAGGCCACGACAAAAATTCGAGATACGTCATAATAAAATATCAGGGAAAGTCGGGGCGCAATTACGGCTAAACAGCCAGGTAAACGGAGACGCAAGCGAGACAAAATACCTCGACGAAGACATTGGGTCGGGTCCTGCTAACGTCACACTCTCTCAGCACAAAGAGTCCCCCCGGGCCAGATTTGAAAGGGACCGGGCCGCAAGATCGCACGCTGTAACAACCGGCGAGCTAACGACAGACTCCCTTTGTGAACGGTTCAAGGGAGATCATAAATCAGACGGGGACACTCTCCCGGGCTTAATACCCCCGACCAGTGGCAACCCAGTTGGTGTCATCGCAAGTTCTTCAAGATGTAGCGGTTGTGTTGATGACGCGAGCCCGCCGCCAGAGTTGCCACCCCCGAAACTACCCCCTAGGGTAAAACTCGCCAACAAACCGCTAGCAGCCAACACGGTCGTCAGCAACAGGGATAGATTCACTGATCACAATTCTATCTCACTTAACGGCTGGCTACAGTCGAGCCCGGACATAAAGGCAGATGCGAGTGAAACGTTTGTAACGTGCCGGCAACAACACACAGAAGACACACGGGCCATTTCTGGTCAAAGATTTCTGTCTAGTGAAACGAAATATATTTCAAAGGATAATTATTTCATTACTGTGGATACGCAAAAACAAACATTTCCTCACTTGGATTGTTGTAATTCTGATCAGGAAATTATACTGAATAGAAATTCTTTAAAGAATTTGTGTTGCGATTCTAAACCCGAGTTGACGGACAATTTGAGAAGTCACGTTGTTCATGATTCTAGGCAATCAGGATACGAAGCGACGACATTCAACTCCGTCAAGAACAAATTATCCCCGAACAACTTACTCACTCGAACAGAAATACTGTCAAACCAGAGTACTACAGCTTCAGCCCACCACTTCGGTGATTCGGGATTTAAACCACGGGCTCCGGGGGGTCAGCGGGTCTCGGCCTTGAAGAAGGTGTCCCCCGACTCCGCCTCAAGCAGCGGTTATGACAGTGAGGTCAACACGTCAGCAATCAAGACATTTTTCCAAGGCATCGACTGTGTGAGCAACAACGAGTACATTCGCCAAGTGCTGACCCGCTCGAGTGTCCAGCAGCTTCGACTTTTGTTCGGACACGAGGACGACCATCAGGAATCGGTGAAGCCTCAAAGTCCGCTTGATACCGGGGTGTTGACGTCATCGCCGAAATCCCGTTGGCGGTCTGACGGGGATTTCAACGATTATGACGTCAGTGACATACATAACTGTTCGACTGATAGCAACCCGAAGTCTCGGTCGCCTGTTGGGGATCCAACGCGTCGTATCCATCAAGACGGTTTGCATGTGAGTTCATCGAGTAGCTGTCAAGTCAAACTAAACAAAGAGGCTGACAGTTCTTCTATCGCTTCTTTTCATAACGGGTTTCCCGAGTGTTGTTCGCACGACTCTCCCAGGCAATATCTCGGCACTGAATCTATAGAGGAATACAATCGTCACGCCCCATGGCCGTTGCAGTGTACTCCCTGTGAAGACTGGTTAGAAAATTGTGATCCGTCGCCAGGGAAAGCGTTGTGTCCGCAAACGACAGAAGAAAATTTCCATTCTAGTGTTGGCAACGACGTTAAGGGTGTCAATACAGGAAGCGGTTTATCTTACATCAGGGCCCTTGTCGTATCCGAAGCAGAAGCTGAGATGCTGGCGTCAAAGGGAATTCGGATATACGAGAGTGGCGAGGACTATGTGGCAATGGTCAGCCCAGTCAAATCACCGCTGCACAAGTCTCTATCGTCGCCGCAGTTTGTATGGGAGGGTATGACCTACCTCATCATACCGACCGTTTTAGACTCACTGGGAACATCAGCTGTTCAGAACGACAGCTCAGCAGCTCAACATGGAAACAACAACAACAACAACCCAGACCTATTCACCCACAGAAGCGTCAGCGACAGTGGCGCCACTGGGCATTTCCTCGACAACGCCAGGAGCAGCATGAATGACGCCCCAGCTAACAACGAAAGCGATGTCTATCTTACGATGATGTCATCAGCCAGCGGAAAGCTCACCGAACAAAACCGCGCCATGTCTGTCGAAGTTCTCTGCACAAAAGAAGTGAAGCCAAATGAGAACTGGGATCACGTGACCCCATCGGTTGGACTCGTGAGGAGGCGCAAAAATAAGCTCACCAACGATCGAGGCTATGTCGAGTGGAAAACATGCTCCGGTTGGGTGGGGAGTACGGACATGAGAACCGCTTCCGATTGCAGAAACTCTCAGGGTTATGTCGAGTGGGACACCATTTGGACGACAGACGCCCCGTGGCGAAGTCCAACGAAAGGGGATGAGCACGTGTATGACGTCATCGCCGAAGACCAAGGTCCGGCATCACAAAAAACTCCGAGTTCCCCGACGAATGGGTCAGATATTAAAGACTCGACTACAGATGGCGTCGATACTCCGCCAGCGCTTCCAGAAAGAACTTACATTCATCGCATTAAAAACATTAACACTAACAGTGCATCTGCATCGCACAATGAAAATGTTTGTGTGAGGGGCGCTTCTACACAGCCCTCGTCGAGACACAACCACTCAGGACATCCTGCGCACAAATGCGTCTGTATAAAACATCATCATCATCACCACCACCACAGCGGTAAGCACCATAAATCCTTTACGCCACGTTCAACAAATCCACCCCCGACCCCAATGCCGTTCTCAGGTCAACAGCCCAAACACACGGGTGACGTTCACTCACCGAAGGCAGCCGGCAGTGCCCAGGTGTGGCCTTCGCCCGGAGATCCTTCACAGAACTACGCGGAAGTCAACAAACTCAGGGGGTACACGTTCTCCAACCTCATGCTCGCCACCGACGCGCCAGCGCCTCATCACCCGGATAAAACCGCCGTCGCTTCCGAGAACTATTGGCATCTCGCTCCCATGACGTCACCGGAAAGCGTCACGTCCTGGCAGACGGGCGACGTCCTGGATTACATCGACGGTCTCCACGACTCCATGTCTCCCAAGAGACGGGAGAACATCTACATCCTGTTGAACAATAAGAAAACTCGGGCCAAGTTCTCGGAGTCTTTAGAGATTGAATCGAGGCTCTTAAGCAGAGGTCTCATCTCGAACTCTTGTGAGGGTCCCAGCGATAAAGCTTCCGATGTGCTCCCAACGGTAAAAAGCGGTACTGTAAAACCCGTGGTCATCAGGAGAAAAGGCGCCATTGCGCCCGTGTCGTCCACATACGTATGACTGGACATTGCCCTTTTGCTCTTATGGTAAAATAACAATGTTTTTGCTGTTATGGTAAAATAACAATGTTTGGTCGTTTGTTGACTGTGTGATGAGGTTGAGTGTGGCCTGGTTGCTATGAGACAAACGTATTATTTATATTATTACTACTAAACGTTTTTGTGTGGTTGCATGTGGCGCCGTGGCCGAGAGATAAACCAATTAGTTAACTACCAGTGGCGAGTGTTGTGTTATGCGGTTTTACTTGGTATGGTTGCTAAGAGATAAACCTATCAGTGTTACTACCGGCACTAAATGTTGTGTGATGGTGATGTCGGTTTATGTGGCACGGTTTCTAATAGATAAACCGAGTGGCACTTCTCAGAATGGCGGTCCCAAATTAAACATTGAATACTTTTCATTAGAAAGGGTCCGGTTATGAGCAATGTTCCCTTTAAGCTGCGCGGCTGCGAGGCCGCGCAGCTATCTCACAGACGCTCGCAGCAGTTTTGAGTACCTCGCAGCAAATTTCCATGTAAGTGTGTTTTTGTGGGATGAAAACTTGTGCACACAAAAAAATTGATGCTGTAAAACTTTGCACACAACTGTATGATCTTGCACACGAACCAACAAACCTTAGAGGGAACATTGGTTAGGAGCCTGATAGCCGCTGATCTTTGGTGACATAAGTTTTTTTTTTACTTCAAATTTTGCGGAATGATTATTGCTAGTAATAATATAAAATCAACAAGACCACGTTTTCAAATAATATTTTGCCAGGAAACATTCTAAAAGCACAACGTCGAAGGCATTGCATGGTTTCTCTAGTCACGGGCTTTTGTGACAATTCAACTGTACAGCAGATAGAGTCTAATTTTTTTTATTGCATTTTTCTTTATTTTTCTTTTTCTTCTTCTTTAAATAAATGAAGATCACGATCTTCATTAAAAAAAAATACATATAGGGCATTAGATACTATCTGATATTGTCCCCAATTATCGGCGGCTATTAGGCTGCCAACCGGACACTCTCTAGCGAATATTATCCTATTTTTAATTTGGGACCTCCGTTCTGAGGAGTTCCGATAAACTTATAAGTGGTACTACTAAATGGTGTGTTTTTCACTGTGTATTTATATTGCTATGCTCAATCTCATATCCTTTTTTTGGTTGTTTTTTTAAATATTTTTAAATATTTTTTTTTTTATATAATGAACCTATCTAAAGGATCTGGGAACAAAAGTCAGTGTTAGGTGAGGCCCATGACATAAATATTTCATTGATCATTGCTGCATTGATGAAATTGCATCTTACTCAGCTGTTCATTTCTGTATGACTTGATGGATAATGATAAGTGTTGGGGAAAAAACAACGTTCAGAGGTATTCCACAGTTCCCCAGAAGGGTCGTGAATTCCCCAACTCTAGGGACATTTCCCGAGGTTTAGTAGCACTGCCTCCTCATATGACGTGTTTTGTTTCTGAAATTCTGAAGGTAATTTGTATGCAAGAGCCCCACTAAACTCATCTAAATACTACACACTGAAACGAGCAGCTTCCCGTTTAGTTTGTGATCATAACATTTTTGTTTTAAAATTGTAATTGAATTATTTAGACTGTCATAATGAAGGGAACACAAAAAATAATCATATCATGTCCTATACATTTCTAGTTGGCATTAAATTTGATAACAAAATTTCTACGTGTTGGAACTTGGTCAATATAAATAAAATATGTGTAATATTTGCCTACTAGGCTGTCTTCATTATAATTTATACTTGTTTGATTTAAGTTGAATAAAATTGTGTTGGGTCGAGCACTCTCTAAACCAACCAATTTTTTTTTTCTACATTCAGTTTGACTTTCGTTTTTTCTCCATTTAAGAATAAATCATTGTGTGGTTATCCTTTCGGCACGCCATCCTGCAACTCAAATACCTCACCGTCGTATGACTTGTGGGATGACACAATGACTTGTGGGTTGACAAAATTTTATGAGCGTTTATCATTGTCTCGACCTGAGAAGTAAACACTCCTTACGTGTGTGGCCTAATTTGATGCAGATTAGCGCCCTTACTTTAACATTATCAACTTTCAAGTGCTGACCTGCGAAGACTGTCAGTTAACTTTTGACTGCTGTCAGTTAACATTTGACAATTACTTGTAAGGAATTGAACGCCATTAATCCTAAACTCAAATATTTTGAATTGATTAACAACAACACAATTTTTTTAGACCTTTTAAAAGAATTTAAAAAAAAACAATCAGAACACACATTTAAAAAAAAAAAAAAAAAAAAAAAACAAAAAAAAAAAAAAATATCATCATGTTCATCAATAAATATCATCATGTTCATCAATAAATATCATCATGTTCATCAATAAATATCATCATGTTCATCAATAAATATCATCATGTTCATCAATAAATATCATCATGTTCATCAATAAATATCATCATGTTCATCAATAAATATCATCATGTTCATCAATAAATATCATCATGTTCATTTGTTCTTTTAAAAACCGAACTCCGTTTTCAGTGCATTTATTTCTTCAACAATGGCTGTTTTGTATTTCAATCGTCACGTTCATAGCATGTCTAACTACTATTTCTACTTACTCGCAACAAATGTAATTGCTCTAAGACAGGTGTCGGGAATCTTTTCACGTGACCAAGGACCAAATTTCAAATGTTTGATCTAACGAAGAAATCCTAAACCTTGCAGAAGTAAAAATGGCGATGAAATTACTCTGACAAAATGATGGCTTACATTTGAAATTCTTGTCACGTTAAATTTAGCCCCCAGGACCTAAGACTTAAAAGAATGAATTTTTAAAAAAAATCTTGAATCCCCAAGATGTCAGTGTCATCTGCTATTCAGAATGAAAGAACATTCCAATGATGAACATAACATAGAAGGGACATTGGTTTTTTATTTCATGTTGGTGTCCCTCACGTTGTAGATGACATAATATTATATACCCAGAAAACAATCCGTTCTTTAGTTCCGCGGCTGTGATCAAAATAATAGTTGTAGCGTGATTGATAGAAACAAAACTATTTAACAAAATATCTGTCTATAAACCAGCGGTTTTCAACCAGTGGATGGCGACGCCTTTTGTGGGGTCGAATGACCCTTACGAAGGGGTCGCCTAAGACCGTCGGAAAACACACATTTATGAAGAAGAAACGAACATAATTTTATCGTTAGGGATCACCACAGCATGATGAACTGTATTATTTAAAGGGTCGCGGCATTAGGAAGGTTGAGAAACACTGCTGTAAGTAAGCTAAAGACTTGGAGTGTAATGCGACTGTTGAGAGGATATAATATAGATATTATATAAACCAAATGCTCAAGTGTAGGGTGTTTGACAAAAAAAAATATATATCTATAAACTAAAATATGCGACTGTTGAAAAGATTTATATAAATCAAATGCAAAAGTGTAGTGTGTTTGATAAGAAGCTGACATCTATAAACTTTATATATATATATATATATATATATATATATATATATATATATATATATATAAAAAAAAAAAATATATATATATAAAAAAAAATATGAGAGTGTTAAAAATATATATATAAATAAAATAAAAGAGTATAGTGTGTGATATAAAAATATCATATATATAAATTATATATATATATATATATATATATATATATATATATATATATATATATACATATATAAAAACTTGTTTATTCAAGAGAAATATTAATGTAATTTTTTACCGTCCTTATAAAAATCAATGCACCCTTTTCTTTAACATTTTACAGAAATATATTTAAGCTCTTAACATACGCCTCTAAGAAAAGAACATAAACACATTGATGTATTTTTGTCGTGCTTCACGCGGCGTCTTGAAAATACAGAAAATAATTCGTTTGTTCTATAGAACTATAATGACGATAGCATTCTTTCACCCCCAGTAGGGGAGGGAGGGGCACGATGTTATGTCTACCGTACAGGTGCCTGTCACACGTGACTTGACCGCTATGGACTGTGACGACTAGGGGCGAGATGGAGGCCATTAAATTAATTCCTTTCCCCCGCTTTCATTTGGGACAGAAATCTTGTTCCTAACAAATAAGATTTATTTCGTCTATATTCTACATCGTGTTTTGTAGATAGCCATTCATGTCAAACACCAATAACATCATTGTGAGTAGTTTTACATACAACTCCATGGCTTCACATCACTAAATGGGTACACACCCCTGCATGGCTACACATACATCCTAGATAGTTACACACCTCTATATGGCTACACATCACTATATGGATGACTTCACATTACTATATGGCTGCACACTCTTACATGACTACGAACCACGACATGGCTACATACAACTCCATGACTGCACACCACTACATGGCTGCACACCACTACATGGCTACATATCTCTAATAGAGCGTCGTTACAGATGTGCAATGGTGGAATGAATAGCATCACTTATATAGTTTTATCAAAATGATGGAGAAGTAAGGTTGGACAGCTGTGTTACAGAGTGATAAGCCATTTCGGTCAAGGTCATTGGCTGGACATTTTTCTAGTATTGGATAACATAAATATTAAACTTAGCAACTTAAAATCCCTCCCCACCCCTTTTTTGTGTGTCCATGGCTAGTATCTCATTAACTGGAGCTGATTTTAATTACCATAGTTCCCCCCTCCCCCGGGGAACTCTGATCAACAAGTCTGTAGGTGCAGCGAGGTTAGTGGCGCTGCCACCGACCCCCTAGTGCTACCCGGAGAACTTCCCCCATCCCCCACGCACGGGCAGACAAAGGCCATGCGTGGTATTTACCGAAAATTAAAACTAGAAACTGCGGAGCCAACGCCCCCCTTTATCCACAGTTGAAACAAAAGTGCAGAAACAGGTTAGGAATCCTGGTCAATATAGCTGCCGTTTACGGATGTGAGTTATGTGAGGGGTAGTGGCAGCCCATATTAATGATTTTATCATACAGCCCGTGGAAAAAAGGGGTGGGGGCCTGTTCCTAGGCAACCGTTTCGTCCCAGCTACTTCGCGAACTGTTTAAAAAGTAGAAATCAAATTTAGAAAGCCCTATTAAATGGCGTCCAACGGCCTCCCGGGGTGTGAAGGGGGGAGATTTAGGACGTTAAAATGCATTCATCTCGACCCTAGAAAGTTCGATTGCTAGTGTTGTGATACCGGTAACAGAATATTTATTTTCAAAATTAAGACTTTCTATCAAAGATAATTTAAAACGCATTAAAAAGTAGAACATTATTTAGCGTCTCTTAAAATACATTACACATTGAAAGACCGTGCAGAAGCATAGATGGGAAAATTTTAAAATTATTTTCAGCTCAGACAACACGGTCCGCTGAATTTGATATTTAAAGTTGATTGATTATATTCGATTTATTTATTTAGGCATTTTTATATAGCGCTTACCTTAAAGCTCTAAGCGCTTTACAATTATTAAAAACATGTAAACTAACTAAAATAAAAATGAGACATTAGGATAGTAACTACTATACTTTATAAACAATTAAAATGGCTATAAAACGAGGACACTTTGGCACGTTTTGGCCTATACTAAATGATCAACCCGAGACAGAAAATGAGGCAGGGCAAGGCGGGTGCATCACAGGTCATAGGCGGACCTAAACAGATGGGTTTTAAGGGACTTTTAAAAGTGGACGAGGTTTCACAATGACGGATATGGAAGGGGAGCTGGTTCCAGAACGTGGGCCCATGGAAGTAGAAGGAGCGTTCACCGATGGTCTTAGTTTTGGTTCTTGGGATTGAGAGGGTTCTATTGTCAATGGAAGAGCGTAGTTGTCTTGTGGGGATGTAAGGAAGCAACAGTTCAGAGAGATAGACAGGAAAGTGAGGGTCAGTGAACGAGTTGAAGCATAGATTGGCAGACTTGTACTTGATGCGAGAGGATATTGGAAGCCAGTGGAGTTGCCGCATGTGTGGTTGAAGGTGGTCATGTTTCTTTGATTTAAAAATGAGTCTGCATGCTGAGTTCTGTGCCTTCTGAAGTTTGTCTATGTGGTGTTGAGGAATGCCTGCGAGAAGAGTGTTACAGTAGTCAAATTTTGAAAGAATGAGTGAAGAGACGAGAGTTTTTGTGGCATCAAAGGAGAGGAGGTGTCTAATGGTGCTGATTTTTCTAATTTCGTTATATGCTGATCTACATATATTCATGACATGTTTGTCCATGGAGAGGGTGTCTGTAAGTGTGACTCCAAGGTTTCTGGCAGAGGAAGAGAGTGTGATGTCAGAGTTGCCAATAGATATAGAAGAAGGAGCGGATGGAGGGAGAGATTTGTTTTGAGAGTGGATGAGAAGGATTTCCGTTTTATCATCATTTAGCTTCAGTTATAGTTCGCATAGTTGGTCATCTCCTGGTCCAGTTCGTGCTCAAGAATACATGTTCAAGCAAGGGATGATTGGTTCATTCATGACACACATCTGGCAAAAACAATGGTTCTTAAACTTCCTGCACTGACCTTTTAGAGCTCAGCTCTTAGAACTGGCCTCTCCAAACATCAAATGAATCTTGCGTCCGATATGTAACCAAAGGTAGTGTGACGTGGCGTACGTTGTCTAGAGGTCGGTCCCCTGCGTACTAGCCACAGAACAATTTTTCAAGGGTCTAGAACCCCTTTATTTCTAGCTCCTACAGAGCTGACTCTTGCTCCAAGTATCAACAAACAATT